AAAATCCGTTGGGTAAGATCGAAAGCCGTCCAACCTTTAGATAAATTAGGTTAGTTTTGACTGTTCCGAGGAAGCGAAAGCGCTTGGCTCAGTCAATTAGGAGTCTTTAATGTTTAAGAAAACCGATTTTAAAACTGTTTTCGGACGCGTTTATGGATTTAAAGTCCGGTTCGCAAGAACCTCTTTTTGTTAGACATTCCTGGTTAAAATACTTTTCAATTAAGTCAAGAAACTATATTTCTTAAAAATAGGTTTATTAATCCTAACGCAATGCACATCTTTTTATAAGTGACAATAAGAGGAGTCGATTAGGGATAAACTTGATTCTGAATACGTGAAAGCGACAGTTCCCGTTAAATTAGTTCTTTTCATGAGTAGAAAATATTACCCCATAAGGAATCCTATATGTACACATCTGGAATACTACGTAGCTATATGAATTGCATCTATGCCTATTACTTTATTATTAATTTTAATCACGCACTTTACTTTTATTTCGCACAAACCATCCTTTATTTGATTTGCCTTAGATAAACACTGTAACAGTAGTAATCGATAGATTGACATATGGTCTCTGTGGGATTGATAATTTTTTACATTACTTTGACGTTATTCGTGCACTTGCGAATCGCCCATCACGGCCCTAACATATCTCTTTCTTCCCGAACTTGTTTCTCTACCACCAACAAACCCTCTAGGGATGGTGTTTAGCGTGTGTCGAGCTGTCTTTTTCTCGTGACCCTCTTCCGCATCTGAACTCTTCTTCCTGGCTGACTTTTCTGGTCCTGGGTCGTTTCGGCGGGGACTTCTCTTGTTATTTTGTGGTCGAGAATCCTTCACATATGCCACGAGATGACTTCTCTAGATTAAGGGTTCCATTTCTTTTTTCAGCTGTTGATAGTCCTCAGTGTGATGTCCCCGTATACGGTGGTAATTACACCAAGCCTCAGATTGTCTTCTCATGATAGCGTTGACTCTTTTGGGACTATGAGGCTACGATAACAGGCTCATATGACCAACTTCCTTAAGGATATTTCCCCTGCTTGCATTCAATGTCGCTGGCGCATAACTACCCGAGGATGATCCTTTCTCATGTTTGATGCCTCTTCCTTGCTATTTGTCTTTTCACTGCTGTCCCGTGCTCTTTTCTCTTGGTTACTTTCTTCTCCTTTGATGTAAAACTCAGCCCGAGTAGTGATCTCGTCCATGATAATAGTCGGCTTCTAAGCTAACGACTCATTGAACTGTCCGACTCGTAATCCATGTTGAAAAGCTCCCACAAATAGTTCCTGGTTTGGATGAGAAACTTTGAGGGTTTCCTCATTGAATCGAGTTAGGTACTCACGTAGAAATTCTGACTGTTTTTGTCGAACACTGAACAGTGTGGTCGTGGACACCTCCGGCGCTACTTGCCGAGAATTGTTGCACTAGCTTTTTAGTTAAGTCTTGGTAGCTTACGATGGATAGCCGAGGAAGGCTCATGTACCGTTTTAGAGCTACATCCTTAAAAGTACCGGCCTTGAGCTTGCACTTCAGTGAATCCGAAGGGGAAACTATGGACATCTAATTGTTAATGGCAATAACATGCTCCTGAGGATCCGTCTTTCCATCATAAGAGGTTAGTGATAGTGCTTTAAAGTTTTCTGAGACGCGGTCGTCCCATATCTCTTGAGAAAGAGGTTGTGGCTCGAGAACCTCCTCCTCATGGTCGACGTCAGCCTGACTTTGTTGCAGAACTTGTATGCTTTCTTACAGCGTCTCATTCTGCTGACGCATGGCCTCCACCATGGCTAGAAGTTGAGCCATCTCTAGAGGATCTCCTTTAGAGGACATGTTGTAATGTAAGGTGTGGCCTGGGAGAGTTTTTGGGCGCAAAATATTCTAGCCAAAAATGGTTAGATACACCAAAAGTGCTAATTCCCCTTGTCCTGGACAAGAAGAACTACGTTGTCTATATCGTGAGGGATATTTGAGGATTTAAGAGCTAAACTTGGGTTGTGTATTGTCTCAAGATGATTGTGTCTTTCTTAACCCTCATGTGGGAGCCCCTTTTATAGTCTTCCATTAAGATATGTCACTAAGAGGAATCTCTTGGCCTTCTGACGTTACATGGCCATCATTACTATAACTCCCCTTCATGAATGTAGGCTTTGAAGCTCTGGTAACGTCTGCATAGATGCGCTGCCACTGTTACAACTGTTGGTGTGCCAGTTGAGTTCATGTTCGGCATAAGCACCAGGTTGATGGAGGTCAGTACTCGGCCTCGTAGGAGTTTGGCTGATGGGAGTCGGGCTCTCTGACCGACCCCGTTATGGATGATACTTGCCTAGTTTACTACTCGACCTTTCTTGCTATCGTAGTCTAGTTCATGTTTAAACTTGTCTGGCTACCCAACTCGGCTTTAAAATATATATTTGGCATGTACATAACCTAGTCGACTAGATAGTTTGAAAAATTGTCTCGATCAAGCTAACAATTCTCTAATCAATTGACTAGGCCTTAAAAACATTCTTAGGTGATTTTGTTAAGTAAAGGGAGACTTTAAAAGTATTTTAAGTGTGCGTGAGTTGCTGACAAGTGGTTTTCGCACCGTTTTACTCGTTGTTTTAATTTACATTGGTAATATGTTTTTGCTGTTTTCGTATTTTAATAAGTATCAGGGGCGTAAGAGGAACAAAAACGAGTAAAACGCAAAAAAAAAGGTAAAAAGTCAGAAATCTCCAGTACAAAATCCAAGAAAAATTGAAATAGTAAATACATTTTAAACTCATATTTTATAAATAAAAAGATTATTTTTGGCATCTAATAATAAAAATATATATTATTAAAAATTAAAAAATAATCAAAATTGCATAAATTTTTAAAATGGTATAAAAAAGTCACAGTAAAAGAATGAAATGGCTAAACTAACAATTTATGAGAAATTATGTAAATTAATTTTTTATTTAAAACTTTGTTTTAAAATTATTTATATATATTTTCTATATAAACATATAATATTAATAAAACATTTAAAAATATAAACTCTAAAGTTTATTATATATTATTATTTTAAATATGTATTTAGACATGGGTTAATAAGAATATATCTATAAAAGTGTGGCACTCTTTAATTTAATTACATTTTTTTAATTCATATAAAAAATAAACGTAAATGTCACAAATTTTGGGTACAACTTTGTAACAGCTACTAACTTTTTAATGAAGTGACCCAAAACATGTAAAATACAAACATTATCCAAAGTGATGAATGATTAAAAGTTAAAATTAACACTTAACACCCATCCAAGATGATAATTAATGCAAGTTAAAGAAGGCGAAACATAAAAAACACCTGTAAAAATCAAAGGCTTCACCAAAATGGAAAATGAACATGACCATCAGTGTGACAGCGCCAAACCTTAAAGCGGTTATGGGTGCTTTTCAGAAACTATGTCTCCCACACAATTAAACCTAACTTGTCTATTTTACCCATCCAATGGCACGTGCCATCCTTCAATTTTCTTTACCCTTCCTCATTTATCGATATTCATTTCCCCTTCTCCTATCTCACTTCACCTATTTATTAAATAATAAATTATTTTTGCAGTAGTCTAAATGACCAAAATAGCCTTCCTCTTATTGAATTTATTATACTCATCTCCAATTATTTTTAGGACATTGTTGTCATTTAAACTAATAAAAGAAATGGAGAAGTTTGGATCATTGAGATGACTTTGTACTGACCTTATCTTTATTTTATTCTGCTTAATTTTCTGTTGGTTTCCAAAGGACGTATTCAAATGACAATAAAATCCAACACTTCCAATGGCATCATATTTTTAATCTTCAAATTATTTTTCTTTTAGCATTATTCTAATATTCCATTCATATTATATTGGCTGTCAAGCATATAAATTAAATTATATTTATTTAAATTTAAATTTAAAAATACATATAAATATAAATAAATAAATAAAGTATTATTTTAATTTTTTTCTAAGCATTTTCAATTTTAAAGAATTTTTAGATATTCTAGAATTTTGAGATATCCATGTACTATTAAGGTAATATTAATTTAAAATTTAAATTTATTTTAAAATAAGTAAATATAAAAAAATTAATATAAGATTAAATAAATAAATATTAGATATACTTTATTAATTTTTTTAGAATACGTCATTATGCACTTTTTTTATCCATTAAATGAATATGATGAATAATCCCAAGGCTAATATGGTAATTATACCCATAATATTTAGTTAGTAATAATTTTATGTGATAGTGAAGAATGGGAAGAAATGAAAATATAAAAAGACATTATTGGTGGGAGAGAAAAATACTAAAGGAGGTGGTGAAGATCAAAGAAGAGGGAGAACAACGACCGCTTCTCTTTCTTCTTCTTCTCTTTCTCTCTCTTTCTCTCTCACTGCGTTTATTTGAGAGAGATATATGAGTCCCCTCCTAATTCACCATTTTAAACATCTTTCTTTTTCCATAAGGTGATTGCAAAGACAGTGGTACACTAACTGCAAAGAGCAACAAAGAGAAAGAAAAAGGAGTGAAAGAGACCATTGAGTGTGCATATGTGAGTGTGCCTTGTGTGAGAGAGAACGAATTCAAGAACAAGCCTTCAATTGCTCTGAGCTGATAACGATGTTTGAAAACTCTTCATCTCTAACAGGTACAATATTACATGTGTGTTGTGTCTTGTGTTGTGTATATATATCTACATGAGATTATAAAACTAAAGCTGAAAATGGTGAAATGAAAATTACTATTCTTCTTTCTTTTGAATCAATTATATATCATATGATGTTTAGTGTTTAATTTTTCAGATTTGGTTCTTCCGGTGAGAATTGATCCTTGTTATTGAGATGAAAATGGTGAAGATGATGATCCTGAAGAAGATGTTGAGATGGAGATAGCAACAACTTCATCCCTTCCTTCAAATTCCTCTAATTTATCAAACACACAATTTTCATTCAATCTTAAAAAAGTCTCAAAATTCAATCAATTCTATGTCACAAGATTATCAGCACCAGCATCCCCACCACCAGAGCCACCACCAGCAAGGAATCTTTGGCTTCTCGAACAGATTCGAGAGATCAAACACTCCAGTAGAAGACAACAGTCCACACCACCACCAACAGCAACAAATTCAGAGAGACAAAGTGAGACTCCAAGGCTTCGACTCGCAACAACAACCACCACTCCAACCACCACCGTCGTCGCTAATAGACAACATAGAAGAAGAACAAGAAGCTCTCCCAGTTTACGAAACAACCGGAATGTTGTCAGAAATGTTCAATTTCCCTCACGGCGCCTCTCCTGCAGCTGAATTATTAGAGCAGCAACAACAAATGGCGTCGAGTGCATCGTTCCGCTCCTCGTCAAGAACACCACCACCACCAACACCACATGGAATAGCCAATTCCAGTGACTGGTACGGAAACAGACAAAATATTTTAACAGATTCGAAAAACCATCTTCACAATAACCGTGACAGTAGCAGCAGCAGCAGCATATTTCATCATCAGAATCATCAGATATCAAACATTAATGCTGAGTCAGCAGCAGCCATGCAGCTTTTTCTCATGAATCCTCAAACCACCAGATCTCCATCTCCTCCTCCACCTCAACCTCATCATCCTTCATCTACAAATTCATCCACTCTCCACATGTTACTTCCCAATCCTTCAACTACTAACCTCCAAGGCTTTAATTCCGGGGCCGGAGGGTCTTTCGGTCAATTCACATGGGGACATGGAAGTACTCAAGAAGGAGGAGCAACAACAAGTCATCACCAACTCAACAACAACCAACCTGAGATTGGAAGTGTTGTTGAAGGACAAGGTCTTTCATTGTCTCTATCTTCATCCTTACAACAACACCACTCCGACGAATTACGAATGGGCGAAGCTGCTGGATTTCTATATTACAATCAAGGAGGACCCGGACCAGGAAATTCTTACAAGAATCTTCAGCATCATCATCATTTACAAGGAGGTGGATTAGGCCAAATCAGCCATATTCATCAAGGACATATCGGATTCGGTTCATCATCATCTTCTTCTTTTGGTGTCGTTAATGTTTTAAGAAATTCAAAGTATGTTAAAGCAGCTCAAGAATTACTTGAAGAATTTTGTAGTGTTGGAAGGGGTCAATTCAAGAAGAATAAATTTAGCAGACAGTTATCAAACCCTAATTCAAATCAAGGTGGTGGTAGTATTGGTGGTGGTGCTTCTTCATCATCATCAAAAGATGTTTCACCTTTGTCACCTGCCGATAGGATTGAGCATCAGAGAAGAAAGGTCAAACTTCTAACCATGCTTGACGAGGCATGTATTCTTCTCTCTCTCTCTTACTTTCTCTCTCTATACTTTTTTTTTACCTTCTCTCATTCATCAAGAGTCAAGCTTTTATTAAAATTATTTAATCTATTATTTTAAATAAAACATATAGTACTATATACTTCTGTAGTGAGGATCTTCAATTTCAGAAAGGCAAAAGCCGGCTTCTATATAGTAGGGTTCCACAACTTAGGATTCAATCCTTATTTTAATCATAAGATTCTATTGGTGAGAAGATTTCATTTTATAGTACTACTATACCATAGCTAGTACCATTCTGAGTTTTTTTATTTTAATAAAAAAGTTGAAAAATAAAAGTAGTTTGGTGAAAGTGTTAAAAATGAGACACTATACCATCTAATCTAATCTATATAAGAGAATACGTCAATCATGAAGCGACGTTTCTTCTTACTTCCAATCATATAAACTACGTAGCAAAGTTCAAAGTTGTTAGAATTGCATTTTCATCCTCTATAATCCTCTATAATCCATAGTAATATTGCAGTTATAGAGGTGATTTTCATTCTTAATATCTCATGTCACTAACTTGGTAAGTAAATGATGAAATGTCTTTTCTTTACTTAAATAATTCATTAATAAGTAGGTTAGAGGTTTATTACAAACCACACGATGAATGAGAAGTAAATGAGAACGTGCATGCGCCGAATGAATCTATCTTCCACCTGTTACAACATACCTTTTCAACAATGCATCATGTAATAATTAATTCATTGCATAACCATATGAGTGAATATTTTTACAGGTGGATAGAAGATACAGTCATTACTGTGAACAAATGCAAATGGTGGTGAATTCGTTTGATTTAGTGATGGGATTTGGTGCTGCGGTTCCATACACTGCGCTAGCGCAGAAAGCAATGTCGCGGCATTTTAGGTGTTTAAAAGATGCAATAACAGCACAGTTGAAACATAGTTGTGAGTTATTGGGAGAGAAAGATGGTGTGGGGTCATCTGGTTTGACAAAAGGAGAGACACCGAGGCTTAAGCTGCTTGAACAAAGCTTGAGACAGCAAAGGGCGTTTCATCAGATGGGGATGATGGAACAGGAAGCTTGGAGACCACAGAGAGGATTGCCTGAACGATCTGTCAACATTTTGAGAGCCTGGCTTTTTGAACATTTTCTTCATCCGTACGTTTTTTCTCTCTCCCTCTCATTATTGTTTCTTACTATGCCTACACTTTTTTTCATAATTCACCCTTTCAGTATCTTCATTTTATTTTTAAATTATTTAACATGGAGTTTCAAGAGAGGCCTTGCATTTTAACCCTACCATAAACATTTTTTATATCTCTACATGTCATTCATAATATATTAGTGATTAAGAATAACATGGTTTTGAAAAACGATTCGTGCCCGCGAAAACGGAAAATAAAAAATGGTATTGGCAGATTGCGATACCAATTATCATTGTTTTATATATTATAAAACTGATTATGATTAACTTACACCGCAATGCCTGCGATCAATGTCACAACACTTATATTAACCAAAATCACATAAGGCTTAACGCGACCACGACGTGACCACAACCGTTTTTTAAAACCCTAAAGACTATATAACCAATAATATCAAATATTCTGATGGATGCACCTGATGCTTCGATCACAATTTAAAATCTTAGAGCAACGCATTTGATATCATTTATAAGCTTCATTGGTGTGGCTACCATAGAACTTATGATGTTTACTTTGATACCACACACAAATTATATTCATGTAATGTTATCGGTCTTAAAATTTATTACAAAATTTATCTTCACTCATATCCAACATCTCATCTGAAACCATTATAGAGATTTGAGAAAGATATGAATCTAAAGTGAAAGTTCAATTTTACCCTTTAACTTAGAAATATAGATCTTCTACGACTGTTCTAAAACAATTTTAAAAGATCTATTCCTTATAATTAAATCGAGGCAGATATAGTTAGTGTAGAAGTTTTGATAGTTAGGGTAAGATAACTTGCATGGAGAGGAATCCAACACTTAAAACTCAACAATTGTGGTTTATTAGATTTGAGAAAAGATCAGAAAAAGCACTTATTAATGATTGCAAATGAGAGGTATCTATCTATCTACATACACATAACGTGACATAAGATGACACTCCTTTATTAATTTTAAAACTGCATTAAAGCAGCATAAGACATAAGACACAGTACGAAATAGAAAGATACCGTGATCAATACATGTACAAAAAAGTAAAGTAAGACAGCTTCCGTTAATTAACTAATTGAAAAAAGGAAGTGCAGAGAGAAAAGCCCCACTCAAAAGAGAAAATCAAAAAGCCATAAAATAAGTCATTAATTCATATGCATGAAGAAATAAATAAAATCTTCACCTGTTTTAACAGCAATGAATTCATTGTAAATAACATTGATAGATTCTTCATAGATTATCACGCCAAGGAGACAGACAGAAAGAAAGGCTATGAAATGATATAAATTGATATTGGTAATGGCATTAGAGAAAGGTGAATATGGTGTTTATACAGTTAAAGGGAAGAGTTTGTGATGTCATTTTCTGGTCTCTTTCTCAGGTACCCAAGTGATGCAGATAAGCATCTCTTAGCAAGACAGACTGGCCTTTCCAGAAATCAGGTTCGTCCCCTCCACTCTTAGCTTAGAGAAGCAAGAATAAGACAATTATTTTTACTTAATTTAATTACATGCAAGGACCACATATGAATAATAGTAACAAGATAAAAAAGTAACAAAGATGTTTGAAATATATAGGGACCAGATGAAACTTACATTGTTTTGTGTTTTGTTTTCTTTAATTCTCTTCCTTTCATACCAACACAAAAACCAAAATCCCCTTTATTTATTATTATGTTTCTTCTTTTTCTTCTCTTTCATTTTTGCTTCATCTTTTCTTACCTTCACCCGCAATGCGATTAAGAAGAGGCTGAAACCATTTAATATCAGAAATTAATAGAATAAAATTTTAATGAGTTGTGTTCACTTTTTTTTATCTTACAAACACTTTCTTTTTCATATCAATTGCCTTCATTTCTTCTCAACTACACAATAGGGGCCATAAATCATGAAAATAAATCTTTTCTAGATATCATTGTCTCATCGTGGTAAATTCCTTTCATGTTTATGCCCTCTCTAGTCACCTAATTAATGCAATCTTACATATTCATGCAACTTCCTTATTACAGTATCTTTTTTTTCTTTTTAGTTAGATTTCACTTTCACATATATGGCAGTGATCTTTTCTATCTGAATTATTAATTAATGTCTTCTCTTTTACATAAATTTTTTGTCAGAAACACACAAACCATGTTTTCATTCACAATGATTGAAATTTCACAAAATTATAGAACACTTTAGAATATTGGTAAAGTGAAGATTTTAGATTAATACTAAGGTTTTAAAATTTTGTAAAAGAAATTGAGTATTTTTATGAATACCATATATATGATAGAGGGACAAACAGAATTGAAAGAAAGCAGTCTTTTTTGTTTCCATTTTTCCTAAAGAAGACAACACGATTGAATTATTGGAAGTACTTTCTATGTTTGATGAAAATAAAAAAAACTGGAGGAACATATCATTTGCATAGCTCGAGTTTTGCATGCCAAATTTGTGCCAATATTTTAGAGGTGACAACTATCATATCATAACCTAAAGTTTCTATAAGTATAATATACAATATCCAATTTTTCATGTCACATTATTTTTAGATATTTTTTAAATAATATTTAGATTTAACTTTTGGATAAATTTTACCTATCTAAGAATTCTCTCCTTTTATATCAATAAGCTTATGCATAGTGGTACTCTTTTTTTTTGCATTTGTGAAACTTGTAATTATTTTTTTATCTCTACACTTTCTTATTTTAAGTATGTTTGATATTATAATAGGTTTCTTCCTATTGTGACAAATCCCTTAATTTTACAAAAAAAACTACAATATAAAATCACTTTAACATTAAAATAATATACTACTAAAATTCATAGGAAAGTTCAACATTTTATAAAACATATTGTTATCGCAAAAACAACCGTTATAAATCAGTATCAGATGATGTCAACAAATCAGTATCAGACGATGTCAACATTTACAACGTTATGACAAAAAATTAAATACATTAATAATTTAAATATTTCTATTGAATGATGATGTAAAGCTATTTTACACCAAGACTACGCTACTTTTAATCTCTATTATTATTCACCTTTTTTATGGTAGAAAAAATATGATTAATTTACCTAGCAAAGACTGTAATGAGTATCATCTGAATCTACAAAAATAGCAAAAAGCTTTACACGGTCATTGGGCGCAGTTTAAAATTTGGAGAAGTTAGTGAGGCGTAGACTACTCTTAGAGTGCTAGGTGCATAAAAATTAACTGTACATTAAACATGTGAATGAAATTTCAGGTATCAAACTGGTTCATAAATGCCAGGGTTCGATTGTGGAAACCCATGGTAGAAGATATGTACCAACAAGAACTCAAAGAAGCAGAAGGATCCTCAGAAGGTGAAGAAGATAGAGAAAACAAGAATCAAAGCAGTCCTAGCAACACCAACACCAACACCAACAACAACACTAGTGGTCACATATCTACTACAACAACAATTGCACAAACTCCAACACCTTCAACAACAACAGCATCTCCAACAACAACAACACCACAACCTACAAGCAACAACAATAATAAGAGATCCAATATTATGAATGCCAATATTGAAAACGACCCATCACTTACACCAATAATAAATAGACAAGGCTTCTCGGAAAACCAAGCAATATTGTTACAACAACAATCAACCACCAAAACCACCGTCTCTCAAGTGCCGCCACCTATCTCCGATTCTATGGCTATCGATGACACGTGTCGACATGGCAGCTTTGTTACAGCCGAATATGGGACCACACCTGCTTCTTCTTCTGACAATATTATCAGATTTGGGACCACTACCTCTGGTGACGTGTCACTCACTTTAGGGCTACGTCACGCCGGAAATTTACCCGACAAAACTACTTTCTCTCTTACAGACTTTGGAGGCATTTAATTTTCATTTCAACTTCTCTTTTCTATAATATATTATCATTATTATTATTATTATTATTATTATTATTACATAATTATCATAATAATAATACATATTATTTATGATTATGATATACTAGTACTATCAAAAGAAAATGTTTTTTTTTTTTTTGGTTTCTCTATGATGGATGTTCCTTCTTTAATTTGCATTTTATAGAAGGGAATAGGGTTTGAGAAACTGTAGCCTTATGTATCATCAATGATCATCAGCTTGTTGGCTAGCTAGTTAGCTAGGTGGTTCTGTGGTGATCTGCATAACTGTATAGTAGGTTGTTTTTTTGGTTGGTTTTTGCCTCATATATATTTGTACTTAATTAATGAAGGGATTGTAACTTGATTAATTAGATAGCACTTAATCTAATTTGTTTTTTTTTTGACATAGCACTTGATATAATTAATAACAGTTGCTTGTATGTTTTGTAGAGATGTGCACATTGAATTTGTTATAGTGCAAAGTTAATTTGTTACATTCAAGAATTGCAGGTAATTTATCCAACCAAAGAAAATGATCTATTAATAGCATATGTATAGTAAATTTATAAGTGGAGTGAAAATTAGTTTGAGAATATCACTTGTCTGCGTATTTATTCTCAGGTAATCAGTTTGTGTAGATTAATGGATTCTCAATTCAAGAGACAAATATCTAAAGAGGATTGAAGTAAAGGGATCCTTAGCTCCTTTTCTCTTTCTCCTTATGGTAAAAGGTCTTACTGAATTGCTTAGAAGGGCTTTTGAGCTAAGTCTTTTCATTGGGTTTAGACTAGTTTCCTCCAATTTGGAGGTTTCTTATCTATAGTTTGCTAATGATATTTTAATCATGGATGATCCATCGGTTGAAGATACATGGGTCATTAAACCTATTCTGACGGGGTTTAAGCTAGCTTCAAGTCTTGGATTTAATTTTCATAAGAGTAGTTTGATTGGGATTAATGTTTATTCAACTTTTTTAGTGTTAGCTGAGATTTTCTTCATTGCTAGATTCAGTCTCTCACGTTTTGGCACCTAGGCTTACCTGTGGGAGCCAATCCTCGGTTGAAAGCTACTTAAGAACCTCTAGTTAACTTGGTGTGCGAGAGATTCTTGGAATCATAGGTATGTTAGTATGGGAGAGGAGTTTTCTTTATAAACTCTATTCTCAATGCTATTCTAGTTTTCTTCCTATCGTCTTTAAAAAGGCCTGTGAAAGTGGGGAAAGTTTTAGTTAGGATCTATAGAAGGTTCCTTAGAGGAGGTGTGAAAGGTGATTCCAATATTTCTTAAGTGAAGTGGTCTGTTGCGTTCAAATCTAAGAAGGAAGTAGGATTGAGTGTTTAAGACTTTTGGTTGGTTATGGAATATATCTCTTAATATTAGGTTTCAAAGACTCTTCTCTATATCCAAAATCTAGTATGAGTCTGTGGGTGATATAGGTCAGTGGGGATGAAAGGATTTCTTAGGACCTTAGATGAAGGAGACCATTTTTCGTCCTTAAGAAACCGCTAATCTCTGACTTCTTTTTGGTCCTCCGTGAGGTTCAGCTTGGTGAGGAGAGTGATAGGTGATTTTGGAGACAAAACAGAGATGGTATTTTTCAATAACTTCTACTTTTCAAGACTAAGTGAGCCTCACTTTTCCCCTTGATTCTAACCTTGGAAAGGAGAATTTAATTTTCCCCTTATTTAGGATACTTGGGCTCCATCTAAGATGGTGGCTTTCTCTTGGTAGCTTTTGCAGGATATCTTCCCTTCTAGAGAGAATATGTTCAAGCAGGAAGTCATACTCGATCCTGATGGTACTTCTTGTATCTTATGTGGGGATTTTTTTGAACCTGCCTCACATTTATTTTTGACCTTAACTTAGCTTATAGTATTTAGTATATGGTTTTTAAGTGGTTGGCTTATAGGTGGATTTTCCAAAGGATCCTAGAACCATTTTTGTGTTTTTCTATCTTTAGGAGCTAAGACTAAGATTAGGTAACATTTTGTTATGATTCAGCATGATGTGGTATGGACTATTTGGTCTATGTGTGTCGCTACCGCGAAAATAAGGTGCCGGCAAAACAGAAGACTCGCCACCTTTCGTTATTTATCCCTCAAAACGGGAAAAGAAACGATCGGAAAAACCTGACGAAAAGGTATAAGACAAGGTCGTCGCAACCGTTGTCTGGGTTCAGGAGTCGGTTACGCAAGGGGAAGGTATTAGCACCCCTCACGTCCATCGTGCTCGATGGGATCCACGCTTGTTGTGTTTATCTGACGGGTTGGTTTTATCTATCTACCTATCAAGGTCGGTCTGAAAAGAAAAGAAAATGACTCGGCAAAGCGTCGCACTTTATGCCTACGTATTCTCATCAGAGAATGAGAAATCAGAGTCAACGTAGTTCGACTAACTACGGGTTACGGGGAAGGTGGCTCGCCAATACGTCAATATTGTGCCTACATACTCTCAACAGGCATGAGAGATCAGAGCTTACGTAGTTCGGGATAATACGGATTACGGGAATTCAGATTCATCTGTTTTATCGAGTAGGGTTAACAAACAGTTCCAGCAGTTTGGCGTACGCAGCTCGACCCTTGGAGACTTAGGCGTTACCGTTTGCGGTAGCACTGGGAGTTAACGACACTCTTTTCTTCAGAAAAGCTTCCTTTGAATTATGGGCCCACGAGGCAAAATGGTTTGAAGTTTATTTTCTGTCTTTTACGGAAAGAAGTGTTTTTTTACAGATGTTTATAGTTCGTACTGCACTAGAGACTATGACTTAGGAGTGAATGTGTCGCATGTCACCCAAAGGGTACCATACTAAACATCCTGATTATTAGAAGGAAACCCTCCAACAACCATTTCCTAAGTAGCTTAAGGCTCGTAACGTATTGTACCAACTTGCCTTTATTACATATTTTACTGTTGTTTTGGAGATGAGAAGAGAAAGACCTCTACAGGGGAGACTGTCAAGTCCTAATGTTGACATGCCAAGGATTCATCCTATGGTTGAGGTTTGAAACAGGGAACTCCTAGAAGTTATCATGCATAGGTTTCAACCTAAAGTTCTAAACATCACTTCCTTATCAAAGGAAATGAGATTCCTATGGAATCATGTCAATGATACAGGAACAGATAAAGCATCAGCTTAAACAGTAAACAGTAAACGACTGTAAAATGCATGCAATGCAAGTGAGGGAGGAAAGATGTGTGGGGCATCAGCCTCCACAAGCTCATCTCAACATCAAGCCAAGTATGAATAACTGCAATCATAAAGGAAAATAAAATGCCATCAAAGCAAATCACAAACCACATAGGTAAGGGAGGGAAGCTCTACCGAATACCAGTAAGCAAAGCCATACAGTAAAAATACAAGCAGAGGGAGCAACTCAACCTCTAGTGCAATCATGCTCCTAGCTTAGCACCATTTAAACATGAACTTATTCTAATGCATCAAGCAAATCACACAGGTTACACCATTACAGTTGCACAGAAAGCAAACAGACAGGAAAGAAAGCAGATCAACAGCTTCCACAACTTCACAGCAAAGCTCTTCTGACATCAGCTCAGTCTTCAGTCTTCAACAGCTCTTCAGGGCTTTCACCTTTATTAGCAAGTATCAACTTGCTTCTCTGAACTCCCAATACATCAACATAAGTATCAACTTATCCCTCTCCTTCAACTTCAAGCTTCAGCTCTTCAGTAAATTCCACCTTCAGGCTTCACTCCTAATATCAAGTATCAATTTGGCTCCTTCAGGCTCTCAATGTATCAACATAAGTATCAACTCAAACTTTTCTTCTTCAAGCCTCAGCTTTTCACTCAGTTTCAATTTGATCTTCTTCACAAGTGTCAACTTGTTCTTCTGGACCTTCAAGCTTCAGCTCCCTCCTCCTTACAAGTATCAACTTGCTCTTCCTGATCTACAAGCTTCAGCTTCAATGGCAGTCTTCAAACACAGGGAAGTATCAACTCCTATCTTTCAATCTTCTTCAAGCAAGGAACTCCATCCTCTAGCAATGGATAAGGATTCATCTAACAAGAGCAAAGGTTGGATGATTGGTAGCAGAGTGAAGACCAAAGGTCACCACTAAGCATCCTATCATCAGAGAAAGGGACCCTCAAAGGTTCTACCAACTTGTAAAGAGCCACACATCCTACCAAAGGAGGGATGATGCCTTTACAAAGGGACCTTATATCATAGGGAAGAATGGAAGTGATCAACATCTTCCATGTTTATGAAGGAAGAGAATCTATCTAGAAACTCTGCCTACAAAACCCTAATCTTAACACCTAATCAACCCTACACCAAAAGAAGGGAAGATCTTCACATCCAAGCTTCTTCAAGCAATCCATGGTAGCCCAAGCTTGTCTTCAGCATCATCCAAGAGCAAGCAAAGCAAAACCCTAATCTAAGGGAACTAAAGAAGTCATTCTAGTTGAATTAGTGCATTAGCATCATCCAAAGTTAGCACCTAAACTAAAATCAAACTAAAATAGTAAACCACATTGTAAATTCCTACCAAAAATTCCTAAGGGACCCTAATTCAATCATGAATCTACCAAACAAAATTCAGAGGTTGAATCATCCACCAAGTTCTAAAAATAAAACCTAAATCACAAGGTATCAACCATAAACCCTAAAAATGGAGCTCCTAAAGTTTCAACCTAGAACTACCACTTACATTCATCACAAAAATGTGAGAAAAATCAAGGGGGAACATGCATATCTATGCTAGCTACACACAAAAAATCAGGGCAAGAATCATCATCAAATGATCAAACCAAATTCAACAAGATCAAGCATCAAGCATGATTATTTTAATGTCAATTAAAATGCAAAAAATACTAATAAAATCAGAAATTCATGAAATATTAATATCTTTTCTCTAAAAAAAACTATATTCAATCATGAATCCATGGAAAAAAGAATGGAATTAATTGAGTCATTTTTCAATTATTTATGAATTATTCAATAACCATGAATGAGATGAAAAATAAAAT